TTAGTTAATATTATGCATAATAATATGCACGAATCGTTAGGTTTGTAGAAAAGATTGTTGTAGATTGTAGCGTGGTGCGGGGGGCTGGGCGATGGCGGTAAGCAAGGGCAACACGGAATTGATAGTGTCTTGCTTCTTTAACCCGGCAAAACGGGGGCCCCTGCCTAGAGGCCCCCACTGCGGCAGGACCTTCAACAAGGAGGCCCTCCCATGATCCTTAACAGAGCCGGCCCCCTCAACTCGACTCGGCTCGAGGCGGGTGAGAGGCACATCGCCATTTGCCTGAAGACCTTCAGCAAGAAGCCGGGGAACCGCCCCGGGGGCGGCCCGGGCGGCAAGGCCGGGAGCGGCGGCCTCGCTCTTTCTTTTGCGGCCTTCTCCGAACGAAAAAGCAGTCCTGAACCCCAGCCGTCTCAGGTGGTTAGAGAGCATCCCTTAAAACAGATGTCATCTCACAAGGGCTCCACTTCTAGGGCACTGCGAAGCGCCATGGGATGCTGTCGCTGAGCCGATGGAATGGACTTCCCGGCGATTCCAGCACCTTCCTCAGGCTTGGCAGTGCATGGGTGGAGGGGTGGGGAGGGGCCACCACCGCACGACATGCCAAGCGATGCGAAGCACTGCGTGCCGCCGCTGCGCTTTGAGAGGCGTCGTGTCCTTGGACGTGGAGGAGTTCTTGGAGGCGGCAGATGGTCCTGCGAGGCAAGGCGCAGGCGGCGCAGGCCGCGCAGGCAATGACCTGTCCGAGCCCTCGCGATCGCCTCAGAGTCCACGACGCGCTGACGTGTTTCAGAACCAACTCTTTCCTTCTGCGTCTTCGACTCAAAGGCCTCGCCTGGTGTTGGTGGATGTGCGGTCACCCGGCGAGTTTGCTGTCGGACACATCCCAGGCGGACAGAGGAGCGATTCCCCAGACACCGCGCATCGGCCGCACCGCAGGTGCAATGAACGTCCCGCTCTTCGACGACGAGGCACGCGCGACCGTGGGCACCGACTTCAAGCGCAAGGGCCGCTTCGAGGCTCAGCGAGACGAGAGAGAGGGAGGGAACAGGGCGAAGTTCAGTTAGTCAGGGTTTTATGATTGTGAGAGCCAGCGCGCACTTCTCGCTGCACGAAGCTGTCTGAAGGAACTTGAGCAGCGCCAAAGCTTCTAGGCTTCTAGCGGCTGTGAGGCGATCCGACGAGGCCTGCAGCTGGCAGGAGCGAACTTCGCGAAGTTTGTCGACGCTTTGCAGGACTCGTACGGCTGCTTACGGCTCGCCTGGACCACATGTGCTCTCTGCTGTCACCTTGTGAGGAGCTGGGGGCGAAGCCGGGCTCGCGCTTGCTCGTGTATTGCAGCTCGAGCTGCACGTCGTTAACCGTCACGGGGAGGAAGAAGGGTTCCTCCTCAAAGATCTGGCGGTGACAGGGCCCGGTAGGCCGTAGGCATAGCCGGGCTCTGCCCGTCACCTCTCCAAGGCTGGCGCGGCGGGATGCGCAGCGGCTCCATGGCCTGGCTGTTCCAACTCTGCGGCTACGAGGCACGGAAGCAGAGTTGGAAGAAGAGCTTTAAAGCGTCGGTGAGCCGTGGGCTAATTGCGGCTCTTTTCCAAGTGCGAGACTCGCGAGGTTCACACCTTGAAAGGCACGGCCCTCAGTGAGCTGCGGTGCTGACTGGTTCTCTTGTCTGGTGAATCTGCTGTCACCTCTGACTCTTGGACGTGCAATGGCTTGGTTGATGAAGCTCTTGTTATGGGGACGCTAACGACAGTGAGATCGTCCTTAGCAAGGACGCCAAGCATCCTGTTGCTCAAGTCGCAGCGGATAAGAAATCTAACGGCCGGGGGACCGGGGGGGTCGGAAAGGAGAGCATAGGGAACAATCCAGGTTCAGATTCACATCAGGAGTAGCCAGGATCGCATAAGGGGGGAAACCGTCAGCATAAGGAATCTCCGCATTAAGGGGAGAAAGAAACTCTTATGGTGTGGGCTTTGGAGTGGAGGCTGTTGTCTTTATGGGTTTTCGAGTTCTCGTAATGTGTCTATCCTGCAAGCATCGATATGACAAGTCTCCCCGCCGCTGTTCGACTTTTGCGCACCCGGTCCGTTACAGACGGTGCGCCAGCATCTTTGAGTAGGCTTTCAACGGTCTGATGCCAAGGCACTCTGATGCGTTCCGTTCCCCATCCCATCTCCCACAGCAGTGAGGACCACTCCTGCAGGCCGGGATGTCGGCTCCGTTTCCGGCTTATGGCAGGCGGCCCTGCATCTCTCGCCAAAGCCCTGTCCCCTCGTCCTTGCTCATCTCCGCCGGTCTTGTAGCACCTCCGGTGCGAAGTGACATGCCCAGACCCACAATGACGAAGAATTGTGGCCCGAGGCATCAGATTTTCAGTTACCCGCCCGCCCACCCGTGACGTCCGTTGAACGTGACTGCTCGGTGGCGCTACTTCTCTCGAGTGGGCTCTGAAGTGCAGCAGCTCCACCGAGAAGCTTCACCGAGTTGGCAGTTTGACTCCAACCTTTCGGACGAACGGAATGGTGCAAAAGCTCAAGCATTGCTCTTTTGATTCATGGCTCACTTGTGATTGTGCGATAGTCATGTCACCTGAGTCTGTGCCAAGTGGTTTTTGCCAGGAGCCCGACTGCATCCTTCCTTTTGCTTTGCTGCTTCCCCTGCCCAAGCCCGACCCGTGGGACGCACCCCCGCCTAAGGCGTCCTCCACCCCATGCATTGCAAGAAAAGAGCGGGAAAACACTGATCCAGTCGTGGGCGCCATAGACCTCGACGATGACATGGACCAGGGCCAGGAAGATGAAGAAATGGAGGAGGTAAGCAACGACACAGGCAAGAAGGAGGCTCTGTCGGAACCCTACGGATAAGGACGCTTCTCCGGCCTTCAGTGAGGAGGACCGACACCGTGACCGTTTGTTCCAGTGTGTCACTCTTATCTTCGGCGCCAGGGTATCCAGCTTCCATTGTGCGCGAGCAGCCGGCTTGCTGCTTCGCCTTCTGAAGTGCTTTGTCAATGTTCGCCATTCCGGCCTTATTTACGTTCAAGACTTTCTCTCGATATTTAACCGTTTGTCCGCCCCGCTTTGGGCTTCCGTGATCGTCGCTCTTCTTCTCTGTATCAAGGTTTCGATGAGAACCCGGACCTATGGCAGCGGCTCTGTGATGGTGTTGACGCGAGCCTGGTGCTCGCTCGGTCCGTCGGAGTTGCCGCTCTGTCGCCTGGCTCTGGTCCTCTGCGAGTGGTCATACCCGAATTCCGACACGTTTGGGTTCCCCCTCGTGGGCCTCTTGCAGACTATCCGATTCCTCTCGCGAGGTCGTCAGCATGTGGCTGGCTGTTCTTTCAGAACACTTTCTCTCGTGCAAAGATGCTTGCGTTATTTCCATGGTTTCTGCCTGATTGATCCTTGCAGTCTTACATACCCACGTGGGAGCTTGCCGCTCAAGGTGCCCTACTGCTGATGCTGCATCAGCTTCTTGGAACAGGCACTTGCCGGTCCATGTGGTTTCTCGCTCGGACAACTCCGCTTCTGAATCTGCTTCATGGAAGGGCCTGAGCATGGCTATTCCGTCCGTATAGATCATGTTCCGGGCATTTCCAGCGAGGTCGCGGACTCGCTTCGCCGTGATGCTAACCCGTCCGATTTGGGTTTCTTGCCCTCTCAGGTGTTTCAGGTGGATCGGACCGCGTGCCGTTGCGTGATTGTCCTTGGGGCGGTTCCCCTGGCGGGCCAAGTGTGCGGCTCGATGTTACTTGGTCCGACCGCCCACGAACAGGAGCCGGTTCCGACCGCTCCTCTGTTTCTCGCACCGAGTCCGTTTCACAGACTCCGGCTTTTCGGCAGCGGCTTGAAAAAGACGGTGTCTGCCTGTGAGGCTTCGCTTCGACTGCCCGAGTTAGGCTTGTTTCTACTATTCGGGAAACGGAGTCCGACAGAATTCAACAGTATGCAGTTCACTTTTCACATTGTCCAGTTCGCTGCAACAGCAAGCAGCTTCTAGGTGCTTCCTAACTACTTTGCAACTACGTGCTCGTATCGATTAGTTCGCGCCAACATTCTGTTCATCAAGACTGGCCCTTCGCGGGGAAGGTTGCTGCCAACTACGA